GGCTCTGGGTTATTATGGGATCTTAAGAGATAATAAAATTAGTATCTAGAGTTGCATTTATATTCCTTAGTATAGTTTATAAAGGATTTTAAAAAAAATTATCACTTGTATTTGTGGGTGAGGGGAATGGGAGGAGGGGAGAACTGAGGACACCATGGTTAAGAGACTTACCGGCCAACAAAAGGGTGTCTTTATAACTTATAGCTCCCAGGGCTAGACACATTTGCTATTGTTATAAATGCATTTCCTCTGGGCCATTTTTTGTTTTTGTTTTTGTTTTTTTGAGACGGAGTTCCCGCTCTGTCGCCCAGGCTGGGAGTGCAGTGGCCGGATCTCAGCTCACTGCCTCCCGGTTTACGCCATTCTCTCTGCTCGCCTCCGAGTAGCTGGGACTACAGGCGCCCGCCACCTCGCCCGCGTTTTTTTGCATTTTGTAGGAGACGGGGTTTCACCGTGCTAGCTGTGATGAAACCGATCTCCTGACTCATGATCCGCCTCAGCCTGCCCCAAAGTGCTGGGACAGCAGGCTTGAGCCACTACACCGCCATTTCCTCCCATTGTTAAAGCTTTTTTGGAATACTAAAATTTTGTAAATAAAGGCCGAGTGCGATGGCTCACACCTGGCAATCCCAGCACTTTGGGAGGCTGAGGTGGGCGGATCACTTGAAGTCAGGAGTTCGAGACCAGCCTGTCCAACATGGTGAAACCCCATGTCTACTAAAAATACAAAAGAATTATCTGGGCATTGTGGTGTGCACCTGTAGTCCCAGCTACTCGGGAGGCTGAGGCAGGAGAATCATTTGAACCCAGGAGGCAGAGGTTGCAGTGAGCCAAGATCATATCACCACACTCCAACCTGGGCATCCGTCTCAAAAAAAAAAAAAAAAAAGAAAAAAACAGTGATTCTGGTCTCTTAACTCTCACCTTCCTGCTCATGCTGTTTTTTGCTGTTTGGAATTCTCCTTTTCTGGTTTTTAAACTGGCTAACTACTATACAGTTATTTAATTTTTTATTTTTAAATTTATTTTTTTAAATTAATTAATTTTTTTTTGAGACGGAGTCTCGCTTCTGTCGCTTCAGGCCGGAGTGCAGTGGTACGTCTCGGCTCACTGTAACCTCTCTGCCTCCCGGGTCTATGCCATTCTCCTCCTGCCTCAGCCTCCCGAGTAGCTGGGAATTACAGGGCATGCTCTGCCATGACGCCCTGCTAATTTTTTTTGTATTTTTAGTAGAGACGGGGTTTCACCGTGTTAGCCAGGATGGTCTCATCTCCTGATTCCGTGATTCGCCCGCCTCAGCCTCCAAAGTGCTGGGATTACAGGCTTGAGCCACCATGCCTGGCCTGTTGTTTTTCAATTTTTTTAGAGTAGTGAGATCTCACTCCCTCAGTCATCTGGGCTGGAGTGCCATGGCGTGATCATAGCTTACCATAGCCTCCACTTCCCGGGCTCAAGCTGTCCTCCTACCTCAGTCTCCTAAGTAGGTGGGACTGCAGGCACCTGCCACCATGCCTGGCTAATTTTTAAATTTTAGTAGAGATGAGGTCTCCCTATGTTGCTCAGGCTAGTCCTGAACTCCTGGGCCTGGGCGGGATCCACCTGCCTCAGCTTCCCAAAGTGCTGAGATTACAGGCATGAGCCACCACACCTGGCCTCTGCTGTACAGTTTTAATCAAAATGTATGTAGAGTTCATGTAGTAGCATTCCAGCCAGACCTCAACTCCTTTACTAACTGTTTGACTTCTTAAATTAGTTAATTTTTGGCTGGGTGCCTATACTTTGGGAGGCCGAGGTAGGAGAATCACTTGAGCCTAGGAGTTCAAGAGCAGCCTGGGTGGTGGAGTTTCACCATGTTGGCCAGGCTGGTCTTGAACTCCTGACCTCTAGTAATCTGCCTGCTTCAGCCTCCCAAGGCACTGGTAGCCAGGCGTGAGCCACTGCGCCAGGCCCTGGAATGGTCTTTTTTAATGGCTGCATTATATTTCACAGTAAGAAAAGCAACATAATTCAACTCTGTATTATAAATTAAGTCTCTGTTGGACTTATAGGCTCTTCTCAGTTTTTCTTCATTTCAAACAATGCATGCCAAAATAACTCCCCTAGAAGTGCAATTGCTGGGTTATCCACATCTAAAGTTGGCATATATGCAGTCACCTTATTCTCGAAAAAGATTTGTATTTAGTTTTAAATCTCAACTAGACTGTAATCTTTCTTTGGTAGCTGAGGTTGCATACTTGTTCCTCATGGTACTGGTTTTTTTTTTTTGAGACGGAGTCTTGCTCTGTTACCTAGGCTGGAGTGCAGTGGCATGATCTTGGCTCACTGCAACTTCTTTCTCCCGGGTTCAAGCCATTCTCCTGCCTAAGCCTCCCGAGTAGTAGCTGGGACTACAGGTGTATGCCACCATACCTGGCTAATTTTTGTGTTTTTAGTAGAGACAGGGTTTTGCCATGTTGTCCAGGCTGGTCTTGAACTCCTGACCTCAGGTGATCCACCCGCTTTGGCCTCCCAAAATGTTGAGATTATAGGCGTGAGTCACTGCACCTGGCCTCTCGTGGTACCTTTGTAAGACTCACGCATAGTATGTCTACCATGTTACAAGGTTTGGGAGAAGATCAAATGAGATTATGTTTGTGAAAAATAGTATTTGTATAGTGTTTTCCAGTTTACAAAGCACTTCAGACATTCATTTAATCTTTGCCAAAAACAAGGATATATTATTATCTCCATTTTGTTGATGAAGGAAACTAGGACTCAGAGGTTACAATTCCTGGGCCAAGCGATTACAAAATTAAGAAGGAAGGAACAGTGGATCCTCAGACTATAACCTAAGTGTTTTTCTATTTTAGACCATTCCACTGACTAGACAGGAAAATGGTATGCAAATGTGAAGTATTACTTAGTGTTTTAGGTACACAGAAAATCCTTATTTGCATATTTGGAGTGATTATTGTGGCAGAGGGGCTTGAGTAAAATGAATTTATGTTTGCAATTTCTTTTATCAGTCTCCCCAGCTCTTTTTAAAATGTATCCATACCCCTATCTCCTTGCCACAGGCCCAGATATTACACCGTCAAAACTTTACAAGTTAATTGAAGAATCTTGTCCACAACTGGCAAATTCAGTACAGACTGTAAAACTTCTATTTTCTTCTTTATATATGAAAAGGTGTCAAGGTAGACGAAAATCACAAAAGGGTATGTGGTAGTTAATTCTTTTAAAAAGATACCTTTATTATTCTAGGTTGTTTTCCCAAGAACTTTTACTTAGGTTTTTTTTTTTGTTGTTGAAAAATGGATAGCTTTTTTTTTTTTTGGAGACAGGGTTTCCACTCTGCTGCGCCAGGCTGGAGTACAGTGGCACAATCAGGGCTCACTGCAGCCTGGACTTCCTGACTTCAGGTGATCTTCCCACCCTCTAGACTCCCGAGTAGTTGGGACTACAAGCATACACCACCAAACCTGGCTAATTTTTTGTAGTTTTAGTGGAGATGGGGTTTTGCTGTGTTGCCTAGGCTGGTCTTGAACTCCTGGGCTTAAGCAGTCCATCCGCATCTTACCCTACAAAGTGCTGGGATTGCAAGTGAGCCACCGCACCTGGCTGAAAAATTGGTGTAACCTTAAACATACTGTTTTACAGTTTTTTTTCACCAAGTTTTATTATTCTTTACCCGCCTTACTCCTTTTTAGTCACTGCAGATAATTGTATTTTTACTTGGTTGATGTGGATAGTTTCGACAAATTTTATGATCACGAAAACAACAATGATACTTTTCCTAAACATGGGAGTAACATTTTGAATCATGAAGTTTGTTCTATGAGCCACCATTTTATACAAATCTCTTTGAATTGCCTGTAACCAGCATTATTCGAGATAATTGAGGAATATAACGAGAGAAGTTGTTCAAAGGCCTTTCTAAAATATGCACTCGATTTTCTTATTCAGAATCAAACGATGGCTGGAAGGTTAGTTGAAGGATGTGGAACAATTTTTTGATGACCTTCAGATTCTTTCTTTTCTGAACTGAGCCAGAGACCACAAAACAAGTGTAGTAGGTATGAAACTCTTCTAAGAAGAGTGCAGAGAGCATTTTCATTGAAGTGAGCAGTTTCTAAGTCATGTCTGTCATTGCTGTGCTATATCTGTGAACAGACTCAGTGGGGATGTTGGAGGTGTTGCACTTGTACGCCATTGCCTTGCTGTTTTGATCTATATTTAAATCATTAACTGTGGAAAAGCACCTTCTGTTTTGTCTACAATAGTAAGAGTCAGAGCCTGCCCTGGGGTTTTTGGGGTTCCCAGCTCTTCTCTCACAGTCTTCTGGGATCACTTGCCTGCATGGTCCATTTGTGCGAGGGTCACCAGCCCAGACTTACGAAGAGAGGTGGGAAGTAAAAATACATTACTGATACAGTATGCAAAGTGAGGGCATACATGGTGTTTCTTTGATGCTTTTCTATTAGCTTTATCCTGTCGCTCTATCCCTCTGGCTTTTTTGCATGGTAATTTTATATGTTATTCAGCGTGAGCTGTTTCTCTATCTCTTCCTATGTGCCAGGCTCTGACGTGTAAGAGCAGGACATGGAATTTCTCTTATGGAGATTACTCTGGTTGGGGGAGCCAGTTGAAAAGTAAACACATAAATATCATTTGTAGATAATGCAACAGCCATGAAGAAAGTGAAAATGGAAGCCTCAGGTGGGAGGTGGGGTGTGGGTGATTGAGCTCCGTAAGGCTAGAAGAAACCAGTCAGGAAAGGACTGGGAAGAACATTCCAGGAGGAGGGAATGGCAACTGCGTGTGTCTTTCTTATTCTTCTGAAGGAAGAATTGCAGCAAAACAGTTGTTGCCGCTTGTGGAGTTGCTGCCAGGTAGCCTGATGTCAGTTAATGCTTTCCTTCTCGTTCTGGTCTTATTTTGTAGGTTTGTTTCCTGCGCCACATGATCTTGGCCTACAGTAAGCTTTCTTTCAGCTCAAGTATTTAACTGTAATAACTGCTCCTTCAGCAGTAATTTTCCAGAATGGTGAGAAAAGACAGTGGAGGATGCTGATATGGAACTGACCAGTAGAGATGAGGGTGAAAGAAAAATGGAAAAAGAAGAACTTGATGTATCTGTAAGGTAATTTGGCTTTTTCTGACAGGGATCCTTTTTCTGTAAAATAGTATAATTTTAAGTGCAGTAAGTCCTTGTTCATTTAGAGCTCATTTGTTGCCCATGCTCTTTTACCCCCTCCATAGATCTGGGAAGTTAACTGATAAAGGCTGCACCAGTGGGTCCCTTGCCCTCTGACTTGTGATTGGCCAATGGGAGTCACTGGTGAAATCCCAAGGGCCAGGGAGAATGGGTGGAGTGTGGATTCATTGGCTTCCTTCCTTGGGGGTCCTAGGGAGCTGGCTGTAGGTCACAGCTCTGTCGGGTTGCCCTTTCTGCACTCCCTTAAGGGGTCTTCGGTCACTAGGAGTGCGTTTGTCGGCCCCAGGTGAAAGGTTCCCACTGTTATCAGTGCGGGGGACTATGTTGTCTCTCTGCACATCTCTCTGTCCTTCCTACTTTTGTAAAGTGATCTTTTGTTAAACTTTTCTCAGACTACTCAATTCGAATGTGTTCTTTGCTTCTGCTGGGTCCCCTGACTGGTATTGTCTAAATCAGAGTGAAGTAACAATTGATTAATTCAGTGAAAATTTACTGAATGCCTTGTGTTGGTCTAGTCTCTAAGGAAGCTGTTGTAAGGAAGTTACTTCACCTAGTTGGCTGCTTTTCCAAATCCAGTAGTGTCCTTTGATTCCTCCGTGCCCTTCACCCCAGTCCTCAGCAGATCCAGTCAGTCCTTCTCTCTTGCTATGTTTGGAACTTGTTCACTTATCTCATGGCCATTGATACCCCTGGAGTCTAAGCACCAAACCTCTACCAAATCTACTTCACCAACCTGCAGTAGCTTCAGTTTTCTTCTCTTTGACTTAACTCCCGTCTCCACATCTGTTCTTCAGGCAGTGATCCGAAGCCTCAAGATTATTAATCAAACTTGTGCACTTTTCTGCCCAAACTCTTTGGAACTGGGAGGAGTCTGAGCGCCATGGCTTCAGTGCCTGTATAACCCAGCCCGATGATCTTCCCTGACCTCTTTCTCTTTACTTTCCCCTTCCCTCTCAGCATCGACTGCCCTTGGCTTTCCTTCAGTTTCCTGACTACTCCAGTCAGTTTCTGCCTCAGGTTGCCTGGAATGCTCTTCCGTGGCTTTTCACCTCATGTGCTCTCTTTACCCTGCTCAGATCTCAGCCAGTTTCGTGACAGGCCTCCTGGAGCACGAGGTAAGTTCTCATCCCAAATACTCTCTTTTTCTTTCTTTTTTTTGCTTGAGTCTCACTGTCGCCTTCAGCCTGGAGTGCAGTGGTGCGCTATTGACTCCACTGCAACCTCCACTCCTGGGTTCAAGCGATTCTCTTACCTCCGCCTCCCACGTAGCTGGGATTACAGGTGCCTGCCATTCATACCTGCTAATATTTTTGTATTTTTAGTAGAGACAGGGTTTCACCGTGTTGGCCAGGCTGGTCTCAAACTCCTGATCTCAGGCAATCCACTCGCCTTGGCCTCCCAAAATGCTGGGATTACAGGCATGAGCCACTGCACTCGGCCCCAAATACTTTGTATTTCTTTATTCCTCCATACCTCTGATCACTAAGTAACCTTCTTAAGCTTACTTGCTTATCTGTTTCTGCCTTCACCGCTTGAGAACTGAGACCCTTCTCTGTCCTGCTTCATCACATTTCCCTCTGCGTCATTTACACAGAGTGCCTGACTCATAGAATGTCTGTACCGAATGTTGATGAATCAGTAAGTCTATCACCTATACTGGTAACTGCCCAGTAACGCACTTTGTATTAACTGTCCTTTCTTTTGCTGTTTTACTTCTCCTTCCCCAACTACTATTATCTGGGATTACTTCCAAATAAACTACTTGTACTTGCAGGCAAAAATATATTTATTTCTCATTCTGGTGTCAAAGAGCCTGGTGGGTCTGGGTGGGGAGGAAGGCTGACAAGTGTAAACAGATAGTGTCCAGAGCTCTGAGAGAAGTAAGCCCCTCCTGCTCCTAAGGAGGTGGTCAGGGACCATCATTTACTGAGTCATCATTTACTGCATTGTAGGTTGTTGTATACCGTAAGCCCTTAGGTGGCAGGGGGTGACGTTGTTTATAATGTGAAATGCTTATCGCGCTTTCAGAGTAGTTTTTGTACTGTTACGATTTGTTCAGTACATATTGGGAGCAAGAGGATAATAGTACCATTAACTGCTCCCCAAAACTCATTTCCTGACAGATGCTTCTTGTCTGGTGGAAAGACAACATAGTGTGTGGTTAAGAGTCTGGCTCTGCAGTCAGACCTACAGGTTTGCTCTGTTGCCTCTGCCTGGTCTGTGACCTTGGGCAAGTTACTCACCCTTTCCTGTGCTTTGAGCTCTTTGTCTGCAAAATGGGACTCATACCACTTCCCCAGAGGGTTCCAGAATTAAATGATAAATTCATATAAAGTTTCCAGAACTATGCCTAGAAATGTTAACTGTTATTATTCTCTACTTTCTTTTAGTTAGTTCTCCTCAGAAATGCTTATAGGCTACAGTGTATCCTCTAGCTACTTTATATGCTTAAAGTAGCAAAGGGTCAGTTCTGCAGAAATGTTAAAATTCAGACTCTTCTTATTTGGATTGGTTTTCTAAATTTAACTTGATTTATTTTAGGTCTAACTCCATCTTTTGTTTTTATCTTATCTAAGAAGTCATTTATGTATAATCTAATATATTTACTGTAAAGGTACATGGTTTCAGAAAATTGTGCAGTACTTAGTAAACTGAATTTAATCAGAAAATTGAAGAAACGCTTTTTTTTCTGAGACGGAGTCTCACTCTGCCGCCCAGGCTGGATGCAGGTGCTATCTCAGCTCACTGCAAGCTCTGCCTCCCGGGTTCACGCCATTCTCTGCCTCAGCCTCCTGAGTAGCTGGGACTACAGGCACCCGCCACCTGGCCTGGCTAGTTTTTTGTATTTTTTTTTTTTTTTTTTTTCCTGAGACGGAGTCTCGCTCTGTGGCCCAGGCTGGAGTACAGTGGCGCGATCTTGGCTCACTGCAAGCTCCGCCTCCCGGTTCATGCCATTCTCCTGCCTCAGCCTCCCAAGTAGCTGGGACTACAGGTGCCTGCCACCTCGCCCGGCTAGTTTTTTGTATTTTTTAGTAGAGATGGGGTTTCACCGTGTTAGCCAGGATGGTCTCGATCTCCTGACCTCGTGATCCACCCGTCTCGGTCTCCCAAAGTGCTGGGATTACAGGCTTGAGCCACCGCGCCCAGCCAGTTTTTTGTATTTTTAATAGAGACGGGGTTTCACCATGTTAGCCAGGATGGTCTTGATCTCCTGACCTCGTGATCCGCCCATCTTGGCCTCCCAAAGTGATGGGATTACAGGCGTGAGCCACCGTGCCCAGCCTGAAATGTATTCTTTAAATTTAAATCTAACTAATGATTATAATTCTTTGTCTAAAAAGAAATTACTTTGTTAGAGAACCTTTTTATTTTATAGGATGTTCTTACATATATTTTTAAACTCTTTTTTAAAGGAGAATTTCAATTTTTTAAATTTTTGTGATCTTTTTTTTTTCTTCTTTTTTTTTTTTTTTGTTTTTGAGATGGAGTCTTGCTCTGCCGCCAGGCTGGAGTGCAGTGGTGTGATCTTGGCTCACTGCAACCTCCGCCTCCCAGGTTCAAATGATTCTCCTGCCTCAGCCTTCTGAGTAGCTAGGACTACAAGCACACACCACCATGCCTGGCTAATTTTTTGTATTTTAGTAGAGATGGAATTTCACCATGTTAGTCAGGATTGTCTTGATCTCTTGACCTTGTGATCCACCTGCCTCAGCCTCCCAAAGTGCTGGGATTACAGGCGTGAGCCACTGCACTTGGCCTACTCTATGTTTTCTTCTAAGAGTTTTTAGTTTTTTTAATTTAAAAATGTACTATTTATTTTTTATTACTAGCAGGTGGAAGGAAGATCTTCTAAGAGTTTTATAGTTTTTGGCCTCACATTGAGGTCTTTGAGTCTTTGTGAGTTAATTTTTGTTTATGGTATTAGATAAGGACTCACCATCATTCCTTTGTATGTGGATGTGCAGTTTTCCCAGCATCACTGGTTGGAAAGGCTGTCCTTTCCCTATCAAATGGTCTTGTTGCTGTTGCCAAAAACCATTTGACCGTGCATGCCAGGGCTTCTTTCTGGGCTCACTGCATTGATCTCAACATCACTTTTTAAGTTTTTCTTTCCTAGTTCTGAGGAGAGAATTAAATTTTTTGAACTCTTTTGATACAAGAATCCATTTGATTTTATAAATGTTATCATTTTCACTTATGTATAATTCTTTACTATTTTTGTTTTTTTATTTTTTCCAGAGAAGAGGAGGTATCTTGCAGTGGGCCTCTGTCCCAAAAACAAGCAGAATTTTTTCTTTCTCAACAGGTATGTGAATTCTGTAATTTATCATGAACTTCTGTTTTAGTCCTGTGATGTGTGTCATGGCATAGGCCCGTTATGTGCATAGGTTTGTTAGTGAATCTGTGTCAGCCTTTACTCTTGGTCCCCTCTGCTTCACTAACGAAGCACTTGTAACTCTGTGCCCCTTCCTATTTTGTGTGTGATTTTATTTTTCTATTAAAGTTATAATCAAGGTTCATTTAGTAATGGTGTGTGACTAACAGCCTAAAACCCTGTGGTTTAAAAGACTTGCTTCCTTTCTCTCAACATTTTATTGTAGACATTTGCAAATGTAAAGAGAGCCTGAAAAGCAGTGTATGGTAATTACCCATACTTATTACCTTGATTCTACAATTAATATTTCTGTTTTATTTATTTATTTAATTTTTTATTTATTTATGTTTTTGAGACGGCGACTCAGGCTGGAGTGCAGTGGTGTGATCTCCACTCACTGCAAGCTCTGCCTCCCAGGTTCACGCTATTCTCCTGCCTCAGCCTCCTGAGTAGCTGGGACTACAGGTGCTTGCCACCGCGCCCGGCTAATTTTTGTATTTTTAGTAGAGACGGGGTTTCACCGTGTTAGCCAGGATGGTCTCGATCTCCTGACCTCATGATCCGCCTGTCTCGGCCTCCCTAAGTGCTGGGATTACAGGCGTGAGCCACAGGACCCAGCCTATTTATTTATTTTTTTGAGACGGAGTCTCGCTCTGTCGCCCAGGCTGGAGTGCAGTGGCGCGATCTCAGCTCACTGCAAGCTCTGTCTCCCGGGTTCATGCCATTCTCCTGCCTCAGCCTCCTGAGTAGCTGGGACTACAGGTGCCCGCCACTGCGCCAGGCTAATTTTTTTGTATTTTTAGTAGAGACAGGGTTTCACTGTGGTCTCGATCTCCTGATGGGGGTTTTACCATGTTGGTCAGGTTGGTCTCGAACTCCTGACCTCAAATGATCCATCTGCCTTGGCCTCCCAAATTGCTGGGATTACAGGCATGAGTCGCCACACCCATCCTGTTTGCCTGTTAATTATGCTAAAACAAGTCCTGATATGGAGATGCTTTCAATTTTTATTCTGAAAGTCAAATTATCTTCTCCTACCTGTTTTCTTCCACAGCATTTTGTTTTTTTTCCCCCCCAGATGGAGTGTCGTTCTTGTGGCCCAGGCTGGAGTGCAGTGGTGTGATCTTGGCTCTATTAAAACACAAAAATTAGCTGGTGTGGTGGCATGTGCCTGTCGTCCCAGCTACTTTGGAGGCTGAAGCAGAAGAATCACTTGAGCCCATGAGGCGGAGGTTGCGGTGAGCCAAGATTTCGCCACTGCACTTCAGCCTGGGCGACAGAGCGAGACTCCTTCTGAAAAGAAAATTAAAAAAATTAAAAGGCAAACAGCAAAGGTGTTCTTGGGCTCTAATACTTTGGGAAAAAGCATTTACAATAAATGTGACAGTGAAAGTTTAGATTTTGGATTTGGTTTAGAAATCATATTTTCAGGCCAGGCGCGTTGGCTCACGCCTGTAATCTCAGCACTTTGAGAGGCAGAGGCAGGTGGATCACCTGAGGTCAGGAGTTTGAGACCAGCCTGGCCAACATGGAGAAGCACCGTCTCTACTAAAAATAGAAAAAATCAGCCAGATATGATGGTGGACGCTTGTAATCCCAGCTACTTGGGATGCTAAAGCCGGAGAATTGCTTGAACCTGAGAGGTGGAGGTTGCAGTGAGCCAAGATCGTGCCACCGCACTCCAGCCTTGGTGACAGAGCAAGACTCTGTCTCAAAAAAAAAAAAAAAAAGAAAAAAGAAAGAAATCATATTTGATGATGAGACAAAGTTTACAATATAAAATGAAAAGAACAGGAAATAAAGTTACAGATCATATTTTGATTTTGTTAAAAATATAGTGTGTGTGTATACATTATATAAATTTAGAATACATCCTGTATTGTAAACATATTGTGAGTTTATTAGAAATATAATGTGTATACACAATATATGTTTACAATACAGGGTGTATTGTAAATTTATATAATGTGTATACACACATTTTTTTTTTTTTTTTTTGAGATAGAGTTTCGCTCTATTGCCTGGGCCGGAGTGCAGTGGCCAGATCTCAGCTCACTGCAAGCTCTGCCTCCCGGGTTTACGCCATTCTCCTGCCTCAGCCTCCCGAGTAGCTGGGACTACAGGCGCCCGCCACCTCGCCCGGCTAGTTTTTTGTATTTTTTAGTAGAGACGGGGTTTCACCGTGTTAGCCAGGATGGTCTCGATCTCCTGACCTCATGATCCGCCCGTCTCGGCCTCCCAAAGTGCTGGGATTACAGGCTTGAGCCACCGCGCCTGACCTACACACATATTTTTAACAAAATCAGAATATGATATGTAACATATATATACACACACACACACACACGGAACAAAGACACGATAATATACACTAAAGTATTAGTAGTGTTATTTCTTGGTAGTGGGATTGCAGAAGATTTTTGTTTTCTTCTGTAGGTTTTCTATATTTTTGGAATAATTTTTCCCCTTACTACACCTACATAATAATTCTTTTTTTTTTTTTGAGACTGAGTCTTGCCCTGTCACCCAGGCTAGAGTGTAGTGGCGCAATCTCGGCTCACTGCAACCTCTGCCTCCCGGGTTCAAGTGATTCTCCTGCCTCAGCCTCCCGAGTAGCTGGGATTACAGGTGCGCGCCACCACACCCGGCTAATTTTTTGTATCTTTAGTAGAGACAGAGTTTCACTGTGTTGGCCAGGCTGGTCTCCAACTCCTGACCTCATGATCTGCCCGCCTTGGCCTCCCAAAGTGCTGGGATTAGAAGTGTGAGCCACCACACCTGGCCAATAATTTTCTATAATGATATAAATTAACAATGGAATTAGAAATTATTTTTACTTAAAAAAATTTTTTTTTAAGAAATTATTTTTAAATAGAGATGAGGTCTCAGTATATTGCCCAGGTTGTTCTTGAACTCCTGGGCTCAAGCAATACTCCTGCCTCAGCCTCTGCCTCCCAGAGTTTTGGGATTATAGGCATCAACCACCACACCCTACCCTTAGAAATTACTTTACTTATAGAAAAACTCATCTAGGTAAAATTGGAGTAAAGTGTCTATAACCCAGCTAAATGTAAACATTTAATTTGTAGCTAACTTTCTACGTATGTTATATAATTGTTGCTGATATCATCCATATGAAACAAATAAGTAGGGCTGGGGCAAGGCACCTGGCTCCTATAAGGCCTCATACAGGCACTGGAAAAGAAGCAAACACGTTACTTGCCTGGAAGGAGCTTACAGTCTGGGGTGGGGTTAGACTGGCAGTTTTACTAGAGTTTGATAGTGCTACAGGAAGGGTAAGTGCAGAGGGCTTATGGGAGCATGGAGGGGCTTTTAGGATCTCACCTCATCTAGAAGGTGACAGAAGCAGGTGGCCTGGAGGATGAGCTAGGCAGGGGCGTGGGTTTGCTCAGCCTTGGGTAGTATATGGCTGGGGAGTGATGGGTGGGAGGCTTGGCGTTTCTGGAAGAGGAAAGTGTTTTCGTGTATGGTCAAGAGGAGAGCATGTGGCAGAGTCCACCTTCAGTGTACCTAGAGTGAGGGAAGACCAGCCAAGGCTGGCTAGATGAGGGGCCAGAGCCTGAAGGGACCCCTGTAGGAAAGAAAATAATGAGGTGATGCTAGTTAGTATATCTTTTCATATGTTTATTGACCCTTTCTTTCTACTGAGTTATCATTTTTAAATTTCAGGCTTCTTTGCTAAAGAATGATGAGACTAAGGCCCTCACTCCAGCTTCCTTGCAGAAGGAGTTAAACAATTTGTTGAAATTTAATCCTGATTTTGCTGAAGCGGTGAGTCTTTCCCAGAATTTGTTGCTGTGTTAGAAAGGAATGACAAGGCTACTTTTTTGTTTGTTTTTGAAAATGGAGTCTTACTCTTGCCAGGCTGGAGTGCAGTGGCATAATCTTGGCTCACTGCAACCTCCAACTCCCTGGTTCAAGCGATTCTCCTGCCTCAGCCTCCCGAGTAGCTGGGATTACAGGCACGTGCCATCACGCCCAGCTAATTTTTGTATTTTTAGTAGAGACAGGGTTTCACCATGTTGGCCAGGATGGTCTTGATCTCCTGACCTCATGATCTGCCCGCCTCGGCCTCCCAAAGTGTTGGGATTACAGGCGTGAGCCACCGCGCTCAGCCAAGGCTACTTTTTATATTGAGTAGCTTTGCAAATGAGGATCAGCCCATTGGCCCAGGTTCTTGAAGGAAATCATGTTCTTGGCAGGCAAACAACTTGGTATAGGTCGCAAAGCTCCCCCCTCCCTCCCCGGGCCATAGGTGATTTCTTCAAACTCTTGATATTCTCTTTCAGTCATCATCTCCCTGATGTTGTAAAGTTTAGACTGGAGATAATATACTAGACTGATGCAAAAAACTTTGTTTGTTTTTTTTGGAGACTGAGTTTCGCTCTTGTCACCTGTGCTGGAATGCAATGGTGCGATCTTGGCTCACTGCAACCTCTGCCTTCCAGATTCTAAGTGATTCTCCTGCCTTAGCCTCCCGAGTAGCTGGGATTACAGGCACCTGCCACCATGCCTGGCTCATTTTTTGTATTTTTAGAAGAGATGGGGTTTCACCATGTTGGCCAGGCTGGTCTCGAACTCCTGACCTCAGCTGATCCACCCTCCTCAGCCTCCCAAAGTGCTGGGATTATAGGCTTGAGCCATCGCGCCCAGCCCAAATGACAGTTTTGAGGCTGAAAAGCTCTTTTCCTTTCTCTTCTTTTGTCAGTGTTTATTTTTAAAGTTCTAATAATTACGTTCCTTAATGGATTTTTTACTCGGAAAATTTTCTTAAATAGTATCTGGATTTTCCATCTGACTTTGTGTGTAGAAGTATATCTAGTTTGCTTCCTAGTAACTGAGATCTGCCTGTTAGGAAAGTTTCAGTGACTCAAAAAAAAAAAAAAAAAGTAGAAAATAATTAACTTAGTAAGCTAGTAAGTCTCAGTGTGTTTTAACTTGTACATTAATGAAACTTAATTTTATAATTTGTATATGAATTCAGGTTTTAGGATCTTTAATTCTGAACTCTAAGTTTTCCTCAATATTTGAACTGGGTAAGGCCCAGTATTCTCATCTATCACTCGTGTGACCAGTGACATAGTGGCGTATATTTGAGATAAAACTAACACAAATACTAATGGAACTCCCATTTTTAATTTGTGGACTCCCTCTAGGGGGAATGTGTCTTGAAGCTGTTTTATTCTGCCTCTAGGGAGAAGATTAAGCTAAACTATGACCATCTTATTAGAAGGGTATGGTATACACTAGTGTTTGTAGCCAGTGGAACTCTCTGCAGTTGTCTTACACAAGATATATTTACAGCATTTAAAATACATTGATTATTTCTTGTTTTAGCATTATCTCAGCTACTTAAACAACCTCCGTGTCCAAGATGTTTTCAGTTCAACACACAGTCTCCTTCATTATTTTGACCGTCTGATTCTTACTGGAGCCGAAAGCAAAAGTAATGGGGAAGAGGGCTATGGCCGGAGCTTGAGATACGCTGCTTTGAATCTTGCTGCCCTGCACTGTCGCTTTGGTCACTAGTAAGTTTATAGACTTTCGTCCTTGCGCAAATTGAAGAAACTGATAACAATAAAAGATCTGCTATTTGGCCGGGCGCGGTGGCTCACATCTGTAATCCCAGCGCTTTGGGAGGCCAAGGTGGGTGGATCACGTGAGGTCAGGAGTTCAAGACCAGCCTGGCCAACATGGTGAAACCCCATCTCTACTAAAAATACAAAAATTAGCCAGGCATGGTGGCAGGCGCCTGTAGTCCCAGCTCCTCAGGAGGCTGAGGTAGGAGAATGGCTTGAACTCGGAAGGCGGAGGTTGCAGTGAGCTGAGAGCGAGAGCACGCCATTGTACTCTAGCCTGGGCAACAGTGAAACTCCGTCTCAAAAAAAAAAAAAAGATTTGCTATTTTGTGGAGAAAAGAAAAGGGAAAAGAAATGGAAGAAATGAATTCTGAAATGTTAATTGTGATGCGTTTTTTAAAAATGTATTTTTTAAAAAGAAGAAAAGAAAGAAACTCATTAACTTGGACTAGTCAGTAACTTCCATAGCGGGAACCTTTTTTGCACTGGAATAAAGTTAATGAAAACCTTCTGCCTAAATAGTCTGCCCCCTAGTGTCACTATTTAACATTGCCATCTTAGTGCCTGGCCTCTTTCATTACTTCTAAGAACAACAACAGGCCGTTCAGTGGAAAGGAAATTAGGTCATTAGGCCAGTGAGTCCCTAAAGGAGTTTTTGGAGGTAAAAATGGGGATGCAGAAGCTATTTTTAGTATTTCAAAAAGCCAGAAGGCAGTCGTGCCTTTACTGGATGAAAGACTACATAGGCTTACTAAAAGTCACGTTTGCTTTCAGATGGAATTCAGGCCGCTCAGTTAGGTGACACTGGTTTATACTGTTGCCTTGATATGCCTGTGTTTTTAATGAATAGAAATAGGAAAATTGATCAATTATTTTTTAGTAAATAGAATTAAGTAGATAAAACAACTTTCAAAACATGGAGACTATCTTGGAAATAATAAAATCATGTAAATAATGGCAAAAGGTGGGAAATTACTAATTCAAAGATCCCTTTGCCCCCCCACCTGCCCTGTGGTTTTTTACCAGTTGAGAGAAGTGTAGTGTTTGCTATAGGCATCCTTGAATACAGACTATAGCGTGTATTAATGGGAGTATAGTGTCCACAGTTCAATAATGGAGACGTCTATCCCTTTCTCTGTGTGTCAGGAAGCACCTAGGGAATTCTTTTTATTTCTGGTTGTCAGGTTTTTGTTTTTTTTTTTAAGAGACAAGGTCTCACTCAGTCACCCAGGCTGGAGTGCACTGGTGTGATCATAGCTAACTGTAACCTGAAACTCCTGGGCTCAAGCAAGCAAGCCATCTCAGCCTCCTAGCTATGACTACAGGCATGCACCACAATACCCAGCTAATTTTTTATTTATTTATTTTTATTTTTTTTGAGATGGAGTCTCGCTGTGTCACCCAAGCTGGAGTGCAGTGGCCGGATCTCAGCTCACTGCAAGCTCTGCCTCCTGGGTTTACACCATTCTCCTGCCTCAGCCTCCTGAGTAGCTGGGACTACAGGTGCCCACCACCATGCCCAGCTAGTTTTTTGTATTTTTTAGTAGAGACAGGGTTTCACCATGTTAGCTAGGATGGTCTCGATCTCCTGACCTCGTGATCCACCCGTCTCGGCCTCCCAAAGTGCTGGGATTACAGGCTTGAGCCACCGCACCTGGCCTTAATTTTTTTTTTTAAATTATTTTTCATAGAGATAGGATCTTGCTATGTTGCCCAGGCTGGTCTCAAACTCCTGGCTTCAAGCAATCGTCCCACCTTGGCCTTCCAAAGTGCTGGGATTACAAGCATGAACCACTGGGCCCACCCAGTTGTCAGGTTTTAAAAGGGACACAGACAAGCTGAAGCTTGTGTGAGGAACAGTCTCAGGGTGTTGAGACATTCAAAGCCATATCATATAAGTAATGTGGGAGGGATGTGAGTTGTTTAGCCTGGAGAAAAATGACTTATCCAAGCATGTGTTGGACATCTTTATGTAGTAAAAGGTCATGTGAAAAGAGCTTAGATTGATCGAGGGTATGGCTACAGGAGAAGATTGAGAGCTGGTAAGTAAGTGTAAGTTAAAGGACAAAATATTTCTGCTCATTATAAGGAAACAGTTTCCCCTTATTGAACCCTCTGAGGAAGGCATCAGTGGGGTGCAGCAGCCTAGACCAAAGATGTTATTAAGGGTATTCAAACATCAGATTGATGGTTGTACCCAAAAATGTTTAAGGCGCCAAAAAACTCCATGATTTTTGCAACATTCCATGATATCTTGTAATAACTAACTGCGGTCTCGCCACCTGGATTCAAGTAATTCTCCTGTCTCAGCCTCCCAAGTAGCTGGGACTACAGGTGCGTGCCACTACGCCCGGCTAATTTTTATATTTTTAGTAGAGATGGGGTTTCACCATATTAGTCAGGATGGTCTCAAACTCCTGACCTCAGGTGATCCACCTGCCTCGGCCTCCCAAAGTGCTGGGATTACAGGCGTGAGCCACTGTGCCTAGCCACAAATAATATTTTGATGAACAGAATTTCTTCTTTTTATTTGTAAAAATATAGAGATGAGGTTTCGCTATGTTGCCCAGGTTGTTCTTGAATGCCTGGTCTCAAGTGATCCTCCCACCTTGGCCTCCCAAAGTGCTGGGATTACAGGCATGAGCTACTGCACCCATCTCAGAATTTGTCTATGTTTACAGTATTATCAATGGGTAGACAGCTAATTGCACAGAATATGAACAAGGAAAGGTAGATTTTTATTAATGTGTACATTTTCCTTAATTCCTGATTTATTCAGGCCCAGCCTTCTTTGTTTCTGGTCCTGGATCTATGGGCCTGTATAAATCTTTGTCACTTAGCTAAAAGGATTTCTTGAAAATCCTTGTAGTTATTTATTGAGCATTTACTGTGTACTAGGCACTATTATAGGTACTAGGGATACAGCAGTGAAAAAGAAAAAGAAAAAAAAAAAAAACACCCTGTTATAGAGCTTATATCAGGGGAGGTAGGGAATAAACAATGCTAAGCATAGTTGTAATATCTCAGGTAGTGATAGGCCAGGATAAGAGGTTAGAAAGTGATGGCAAAGTGCTCTTGTTTGCTCTTGTTTTCCTGAGTAACACTCTTACTCCAGATACATGCATAGATCACTCACTCCTTCAATTTGTAAATCTCTGTTTAAATATAAAGGTAGCAGATCAGCCCTCCTTGATCTCTACCAACTTAATATTTGAACAGAGATTTAAAGGAAAAAAATATTACAGAAGTGGGAATCCTCAAAATACTTTCTAAAACTAGCTTTGGGCTGGGCACCGTAGCTCATGCCTATAATCCCAGCACTTTGGGAGGCCAAAGGAGGAGGATCGCTTGAGGCCAGGAATTGGAGACCAGCCTGGGGAACACAGTGAGACTTTATCGCTTTAAAAAAATTAGCTGGGCCGGGCGCGGTGGCTCAAGCCTGTAATCCTAGCACTTTGGGAGGCCGAGACGGGCGGATCACGAGGTCAGGAGATCGAGACCATCCTGGCTAACATGGTGAAACCCCGTCTCTACTAAAAAAATACAAAAAACTAGCCGGGCGCGGTGGCGGGCGCCTGTAGTCCCAGCTACTCGGGAGGCTGAGGCAGGAGAATGGCGTGAACCCGGGAGGCGGAGCTTGCAGTGAGCTGAGATCGGCCACTGCACTCCAGCCTGGGCGACAGAGCGAGACTCTGTCTCAAAAAAAAAAAAAAAAAAAAAAAAAAATATTAGCTGAACATGGTGGTGTGAACCTGTAGTCCCAGTCACTTGGGAGGCTGAGGCGGGAGGATCGCCTGAGGCCAGGAGTTTACCAGCCTGGGGAACATAGTGAGACTCTTTTTCTATTTAAATAAAAATTAGCCTACCAGGCATGGTGGTGAGTGCCTGTAGTCCCAGCTGCTCGGGAGGCTGAGGTCCATCGCCTGAGCCCAGGAATTCAAGGCTGTAGTGAGCTAGGATTGCGCTGCTGTACTCCAATGTGGGTGACAGAGGGAGACCCTGTCTCTAAAAAACAAACAAAAAAGTGATTTTGAAAAATGATAAAAGTAACAAATGCACATAGTAAGAAAAAAGTTCAAATAATGTAGGAGGGAATGCCATGAAAAGTAAAATATTATGTCCTCTCCTTGCCCTTCCCCTCAGCAGTGCACCTTTAAAATAAACATCTTAGGAGCAGAGATAAAAGTCTTTGCTTTATGCCCTTTTCGTAGAAATTCCCCTTAGAAGCGACATGTCCTATATTTCCACTGTCAGTGTTTTCTGCTGCTGGGGTTGGGGCACGCCTCTGAGAGAATAAGCCCAGAAATAGTTACAGCTTCCAACCCAGAGACCTGCACTTGCATGACTGTGTACAGATGACTTCCTGCTATGGTTGCTTATGCATGTTTGTGGTTATTAATGGGATATTAATGTTTAGTCTGTCATTAGTCAACAGGCAGAGCTCGCCCTGCAGGAGGCAATTAGGATTGCCCAGGAGTCCAACGATCACGTGTGTCTCCAGCATTGTTTGGTGAGGCCGTCCTCTGGTCTTGGGAGTTTTGTTCACGGGTTGAGTTGGCCTTCACAAGGCCCCATTTGAATTGGGTTGTTTTGCAGTTGGAGCAGAGATCTTCAGCAGTAAAAGGAAACAAGTTAGGTGGTCATGGGAATTCAGAAAGGGCAACCTAGCTTTACTTATCTTTCTTAATTCATGACATCTGTGTTGCTTTTGACATATATCTGGTCTACAAAGTTTAATGCAACTTGCCACGAAAGAAGAGGAAAAACCTTTATCACATTTAGGACTGGCATTAACAAAAGATATATGCTACACTTAGTAACTGGGTGAGATGTAGTCCTGTAATAGCAAAATCACCAAGCACAAGTGGAACACAGAAGCTACTTGACAAGCACCTGAGAATCTTATTTCTCAATTAAAGGCCATCTAGGAGCTTCATGATTTTTTTCTGAAACACCCGCCACTCAGTGGCTGGCAGTTGAAGCAGAACAATGACTCGTTTATTTCAGCCTGGCTTTAATGGTGTTGATATGCTTGACAGGTCTCATTGAGATTCTTGATATTTCTTGAAAGAGTATCTAAGAGGATTCATTTTGTCCCTTTTAAATTCCTTCTTATGACCACATTGATATTTCACTAGAACATCAGCCCATTGCCATTGTTATGATATATTTTGATGATTTCTCTTGCCAGAGCTGGCTTTATGTGCTGGGGCAGAAGAGATCCGATAGCTATGTTCTGCTGGAGCATTCTGTGAAGAAAGCAGTACATTTTGGGTTACCGGTAAGGCTCATCTTTCTGTGCTGTGAGATTGTTTCCATAAATGGTCGAGCCTTTGTCTCTTTTTCTGCCCACCTCTGTCATTAACCAGCGATAGATTTAGAATGGGTTTCAAAGTGTGGTTTTATTCTTGGCAGTTTCATATGACTTTAATTATTAATCAGACCACTAAATTCTGTGTGGTAGGTTTTTCTCTGTTCCCTGTATCCTAATAACATCTGTGGAAATTCCCTTTACCAATTTGATAAGAGATTGTTGTTTAGTTTATTGAGCAACATTAATTTTAGCACATAGTCACTTAGAAAAATTTTAGCAAAGGCTTATTTTTAAACCAGGGATTGGTGAACTTTCCAGCCCTTAGGCCAAATCTGGCTTTCTGCCTACTTAGGGGCTTCAGGCTGAGTGGATTTTACAATTTTAAGTGATTGGGGAAAAAATGAACAACAGAGAAGAAATGTGTGACAGAAACCAAATGTGGCCTGAAAAATCGAAATTATTTACTCTCTGGCCCTTTATAGAACAAGTTTGCTGATCCTTGTTTTAAACAATAAACAAAGCCAGGAACCAATAAACTTGACAGGCAGATTTGCCCTTTCTCGTTTTGAGTGATAGGGAAGGCCGTGAATTATAGTCCTCAATGACATACACAGAGGGACATTGAAAAGACTTAATCTGGCCAGCACAGTGGCTCACACCTGTAATCCCAGCACTTTGGGAGGCTGAGGCAGGTGGATTACCTGAGGTCAGGAGTTCGAGACCAGCCTGGCCAACATGGTGAAACCCCATCTCTACTAAAAACACAAAATTAGCCGGATGTGGTGAAACATGCCTGTGATCCCAGCTACTTAAGAGACTGAGGCAGGAGAATCGCTTGAACCTGGGAGGCGGAGGTTGCAGTGAGCCGAGATTGCGCCATTGCACTCCAGCCTGGACAACAAGAATGAAATTCCATCTCAAAAAAAAAGGAAGCACAAGCTTGGAGAACCTTATTCTCACTCAGAAACACCTATTGAAAACTAGACCATAGGCAGTGGGACTGCTTAAGCATTCTGTCTTATGAAGTTTGTGACAGACTTTGGTAAAATAGAAAGTAATTATGTGTAGTAATTTAATGTGTACACTTTAAAATCTGGTCCTGGTGCGGTGGCTCACGCCTGTAATCCCAGCACTTTGGGAGGCCAAGGCGGGTGGATCATGAGGTCAGGAGTTTGAGACCAGCCTGACCAGTATGGTAAAAGCTCGTCTCTACTAAAAATACAAAAATTAGCCGGGCGTGGTGGCGGGCGCCTGTAGTCCCAGCTAGTTGGGAGGCTGAGGCAGAAGAATTGCTTGAACCAGGGAGGCGGAGGTTGCAGTGAGCCAAGATTGCGGCACTGCACTCCAGCCTGGGTGACAGAGCAAGACTCCGTCTCAAAAAACACCCAAAAACCAAAAAACACATCTGTAGCTTGTCCTTTGATTCGCACCTGGGAAAGAAACTTACACATACAGAATTGATTGTAATGACAAAAGTGGCTCCTTGAACTAAGTGTGGGCTTAACTACAATTTTTGCCATGAATTTAAGCTGGCATTTTTTAGTTGAGCTTTCATCCTTGTGAAGATGACACCAAAAGTTAATGACAAGATAATTTTGTTGCTCATGATAGGCATCCTTTTTTGATCTCCTATTACATATGTGCGCAGCACTGTTTGACATCTATTATTTCATTGTAATCCTTACGATAATTCTTTATGATAGGTTTGATGCGCATTTTACAGATGAGGAAGCTGAGGCTTAGCTAAGAAGCTAAGTGACTGGCCCTAAGTCACACAGTAAGTAGCAGAGGCAGTGTTTAAGTCCAGGTCCATCTAATGCTAAAGCCCTGCTGGCTCTTTCCCGTGTACCCTCTGCCTCTCTCCCAGACCCAGGTTTTCAGGAACACGTCTCGTATGGATCAGGGTTCAGGCCAGGTTGTAGGTACTTTCCTTTTAGATAGTGCTGTCACTGTGCATGTGCTGAAATGTGAAATCCACCACATTTCTGAAGAGCAAAACAAATTCTGTCATGTAATCTCTATCTTGGGTCGTGGGTATATCTGTCCCCTTAGTACCTCGCCTCCCTGGGAATACAGTCCCTTGTTCAACAGAGAGCTTTTGCTGGGAAGACGGCAAACAAGCTGATGGATGCCCTAAAGGACTCCGACCTCCTGCACTGGAAACACAGCCTGTCAGAGCTCATCGATATCAGCATCGCCCAGAAAACGGCCATCTGGAGGCTGTATGGCCGCAGGTAGGTCTCCCAAGGCCCTGGGGGTGTAAATCCTTTAGAGAGAAGCAGGAGCTAGCAAACTGGTTCTGTGAAAGGCCATACGTACAAGATTTACCCACCTTGGGCAGACGTTGTTCCTGCAGGGGATTAGACAAAATGTTTTATAGTCTAAAACATTTTGTATTTTGCACAGACTGAAAAGTTTTTTCCCATGCATGTTCCTTCTTACTCCTCCCAACCACTCTGTGAGGTAACGGGTGGGTGATCTCCATGCTGGGAGAGTAAACCAAGGTTCACACATCTGATCTACCCGAGATTGCAAACGCAGTTAACAAGTGACAGAGAAAGGACTCAAACCCATGTCATCTGACTCCAAGCACCGGGCTCCTCTGCTCTGTGACAGGAACCTTTCTTCCTGTTTATAGCAGGCATGATCTATGGTTGCTCTAGTTGAGTGTCACCTGAACCCCAAAGCTATTATGTAAAGAAACTTGCTTTTCTGTTAACTGAGGTGTTTTCTGTGGAATATTTTCAGCTTCTTGCGTACTTTCCCATTTAGCCACTTTTAGCCTGGAAGTAAACTTTGTTGCGGGATTTTAATCCTGGAGTTCTGTTGCTACCTCACCCCTCACTTAGACAGTCTGTTTCTAGGAATTCAGTAATGAAAGGAAGTGCCTTTTTTTACCAGTCTTGTTTTTGTATTTCAGATAATTTTTTGGCACGGTGTGCTCTGAAACAGCTGCAGACACTGGCCACTGCTTACATTGCCAGAGCAGCCTGTGCCAGGATGGCATCGGGTCTGAATTCACCCGTGAAAACTAATTAACATACTATGACTGCAGGGACCATGGGGTGGGGGCGGGGGGATCTGGGAGCACGCACTCCCAGCTGTGCCCTAACCACTACGTGTCTCCTCGGGCTGCACATCCAGGATGCTTTTCTGCTTTTCTTATCCTGAGGGCAGGGTTGATGGCACTGGGAGGCAGCTGCTCCCAAGAAAGCCAGAGCCTGTGAGGTGTTTGACTTGACGCCTCCACTCAAGATAGCTGACGGGCATGGCCAAAGGGCAGCCAGGTCTGCTGCTGAAAGGAAATCCTGTTCCCTCTCCCCACCCAGCACCATGGCCCTGCAACAGGCCCAGATGTTGCTGAGCATGAACAGCCTGGAGGCGGTGAATGCGGGCGTGCAGCAGAACAACACGGAGTCCTTTGCTGTCGCACTCTGCCACCTCGCAGAGCTACACGCGGAGCAGGTAGGCAGGTGGCCGGGCCCACGTGCTTCTGGGGCAATGGAGGCTCTACCGTTTCTCTCCTCTAGTGCTTGAGGAAAGCACTGGACACGTCTTGGACAGGTCTGCTCAACAATGTGGCTGAAAGAGTGAAACCCCACCAGTGGAAGGGGACCAAGTGTGGAGTCTGCAAAGTTGGTTGAATTTGGGGTCTTTTTTTGGCATCAGTGAAGGGAATTCTAAGAGGTCAGCCAGTTTCATGTAACTAAGGAAATAAATAGGATTCTTTGACATTTAAGGTAGTAGAGGTTTGTGTGTTTTAGGAGAGAGGAGAGTATAGTAGAAGTATAGCTGAGGCCGGGCGCGGTGGCTCAAGCCTGTAATCCCAGCACTTTGGGAGGCTGAGACGGGCGGATCACGAGGTCAGGAGATCAAGACCATCCTGGCTAACCCGGTGAAACCCCGTCTCTAGTAAAAAATACAAAAAAATAGCCGGGCGAGGTGGCGAGCGTCTGTAGTCCCAGCTACTCGGGAGGCTGAGGCAGGAGAATGGCATAAACCCGGGAGGCGGAGCTTGCAGTAAGCCGAGATCCAGCCACTGCACTCCAGCCTGGGCGACAGAGCGAGACTCCATCTTAAAAAAAAAAAAGTAGTATAGCTGAGATCATAATAACTAATGTTGGTTGTAAATTTCTTTTGTGCCAGTCCCTGTGCCTATTTTATGTGTACTGTCTTATAGAATCCACTTCATAGGCTCAGGTTTGTTGTTATCCTTGTTTCACAGAACTAAAGACTGAGGTTGTGGGAGCTAAATCCTGTATCCAACACCCATAAATGTCAGAGGCAGGTTTCCAACCCAAACCTGGTTGACTCTAAAAAAGAGCAGTGGGAATAGGACATAATCTTGATGACTTACAGCCCAAGTAATTTGACGAGATTCTCTTTATATGGGATCAATTAGTGTATCTCTTCTGCTACTGTAGGCTTTATCTTCCCTTTGTTCAAAATGTCTTCTTTCGTGGGAAAGAGTCAGGGAAAGCTATTTTATCTAAAGCCCTCCATCTCACTAAACACTGCCGTGGCAATCCAGACGTTTCCTTGATCATATTTTTCTCTTCCTCTTTGTGATACCTGTTACTGTTAGTTTGCATCATAATACTCAATATTTCCCTAATTGCAGCCTAAAGATTTTTGAGTGATTTCCACTCCTTTCAGAGGTCTAGAAATACTTCCCTATAGCAAACATGTTAGCATTTTACAGTCTCTTACATGGCTGTGTAAACTGAGGGGTGGATGGGCCCTGACTGATGGGTTCCATGGCGCCTTTGCCAGCTGGTTTCTTCCCGTGCCTGGGAAGTACCGCCTGTGTTTTCTGAGGTTGAAAGGGCTGGCTGGTTGCCTTCCCCCCGGGAATGTTGCAGGTCTGTCTCTCGCTTGTTTCTTCCCTCTTTGTGGCACTGGCACCTCTTTAACATCACTTCACTTCCTTTCCTGGTGCCATGGATAAGAGGAGCATCTGGTAATGAATGAGTCGGTGAACATATTGAAGTATCTAGGTGTTTTTTTTTTTTTTTTTTTTTTTTTTTTTGAGACAGAGTCTGGCTCTGTCGCCCAGGCTGGAGTGCAGTGGCCGGATCTCAGCTCACTGCAAGCTCCGCCTCCCGTGTTTATGTCATTCTCCTGCCTCAGCCTCCCGAGTAGCTGGTACTACAGGTGTCCG